CAAGCCTCTGTATTCTGTTCTATTAATCTATTTGTCTGATATTTCACCAATACCTACTCTCTTGATTAATTTTATAAGAAGCCTTGAAGTTGGGTGCACTGTTCATCTTCTAATTTTATTTTTCTTCAGTATTATGTTGGCTATTTGGGGTCTTTGCCTTTCCATGTAAGCTTTGGAATTAACTTGTCAATATCCACAGAATAATTTGCTGGGATTTTGATCGGGATTGCATTGAGTCTATAGCATAAGTGAATATGAAATTCCCTTTGCTCAAATTGCTCTCAAGTACATCTGTTGCATTGACACAAATCCAGTAAGTGATAAAAGTAGAACTGACTATATACAGATCTGGATATGCCTTTTTTTCCTGAACCATTTGAAAGTAAGTCACAGATATGATAATATGTGACTCCTAAATGTTTGAGTATAAACCTTCTAAGGATAAGAACATTTTCCTATATAACTATAATATTATTACTATTTCTAGGGTAATTAACACTAATTCATCAGTTTTTTTAAATGCATGCCCTTAATAAATCTGTTAATATATATATAATATATAAATCTGTTAATATATAATAAATATAAGAAGGGAAGAGTGGATATTGAAGGACAGCTTGCATACCTGATATACCTATATTTCTTTTTTTAAAAAAATACCTTCTATAAAATGAGTATCTTAAGAGACTCCTTTAAAAAATCTTAAGATACTCCTTTAAAAAAGATAATTTGGGGAAACATTAAGCACTGTATTGATCTCATGGAGATTCACGATGCAGAGTGGCATATTAAAGGCTCTGAGAAGTTCTGCAATAGAGGAATGTGTCTAGCTTTGTTTAAGCTAAGATAACTTGACCAAAAAAACAGACATTTTACAAAATTTTGTTTTCTTTTTTGCAGAAGCCCTATTAACATAAGCTTGGGAAATACTACTTTGGGAATCATTGAGAGTGTCTTAGTTTGCAGTTATGCAAACATTCTTAAAGCAATTCTATTCCTAGGGATGTAGTAGAAATGTGCATATTGTGATGGTCAAAGTTCAATCAAAGAAACAGAAAAACTAGGAGATACATAAAGGAGTTTGTTGCAGGGATTTGGTTTTATGCAACTGTGGGAGCTGTTAGACAATCTATATAAGGCTGTTATTTGTGTCTGCTGTTGGAATTTGAAGTCTACTGGGCAGACAGTTATGAAGGAAGAGAGTAAACCTGTGAAGAAGAAGAGGAGAAGCAGGAGGAAGAGGAAGAATAAGAAGCTGAAACTCATGAAGATAGATGGGAACTTGGATCAGGCTGTTACTGTATCCAGCTTTGGTGATGTGGGTGTCTCCTAAGGAGAAGCTGTTGCCCTTTATTATGGAACTAAACACACACCTGGCTTAGGAGTCGGAGAAGCTGAAGGAAGATCAAGGGATGGTGGCTGCAGCATCTTCAGGGCTGGCTGCTGCCCCTCACCACTGTGGTAAGCCTGCAGAGAAGCAGCTATGCAGTGGACCTTCTGCACCGACCTTACAGATGCAAACATAACGTGGCTATTGATTCACTTCCAAATCTCAGCTGGAAGCATGCAAAGAAGGGAAATTCTGAGGAGGATAGTTCAGCCTAACCAGGCCAATGCATTACAATGCCACTTTACACTATTACAGCAGATGGCAAATACAGGATTGTTTACAGCAGTGCCCGTTGCTGTAACTTCACATTGGAAGTAACCTGAATGCACATCACCAGTTAAGCAGGTAAACTGCTACATGCATATGATAGAAGTACTAAATGAACAAACTATTGCTACACACATCAGCATGGATGACATAAAAGACATAAAAGAATATAAACTATAATTACATTTGTAGAAACTCAGAAGAGGCTAAGCTAATTCATGAGAGAGGGTTAATGACTTGGAGGCTCTATGAGGGAGGGTTCTGATGTACAAATAATGTTCTTTCAGCTTCTTAATCTGGGTGCTACTTACACAAATATGTTTACTTCGGGAAAATCCATTGAGTTGTACTTTGTGCACTTTTCTTTTTTTAAAATTTTAAGTTCCCGGATAAATGTGCAGATGTGCAGGTTTGTTACATAGGTAAACGTGTGCCATGGTGGTTTGCTCCACCTCTCAACCCATCACCTAGGTATTAAGCCCTTCATGCGTTAGCTATTTATTCTGATGCTTTTTCTTCCCCTTCCCCACCGACAGGCCCTGGTATGTGTTGTTCCCCTCCCTGTGTCCATGTGTTCTCACTGTTCAGCTCCCACTTATGAGTGAGAACATGGAGTGTTTGGGTTTCTGTTCCCATGTTAGTTTGCTGAGGATAATGGCTTCCAGCCCCATCCATGTCCCTGCAAAGGACGTGATCTCATTCCGTTTTATGGCTGCATAGTATTCTGTGGCGTGTAACCACGTTTTCTTCCTCCAGTCTACCGTCGATGGCTGCATAGTATTCTGTGGTGTGCATACCACGTTTTCTTTATCCAGTCTACCGTCGGTGGCTGCATAGTATTCTGTGGTGTGTACCACGTTTTCTTTATCCAGTCTACCGTGGGTAGCTGCATGGTATTCTGTGGTGTGTACCACATTTTCTTCATCCAGTCTACCATCAGGCATTTGGGTTGGTTGCTTGCCTTTGCTATTGTGAATAGTGCTGCAATGCACATCTTGGCACTTTTCTATACTTATGCTATACTTCAATATAACATTTGGGTAAATAAAGTTTTAAGACACTAAGTAGTCATGAGCGGGCTGGGTTGGAGGAAAGAAGCTAAGTTTGAGCTAGCTGAATCCAGTAATTTGTGGCGTGTGGGTAAACAAGGCAGTGAGTATTAGAAGAAGCAGGTTGGTTGAGTATGAGGAGGACAGAGCCTATCAAGATTCATTGTAGCTCTGTCCCAGACTGTCCCTTTCGTCTGCTGAGCATATACTGCCACTGTGAAGGGTGAGGAGCATGTACACAGAGGCCCAAGCAGGGGCTGTTATCGCTGCCATGCATCAGCAGAATCACCCTGTGGCAGGGCAGGGAAGATGGTGATTCTGTGGACCTAGGGTAGCCCCTGGCACCTTTTAAAGCTCGCTAGCTGTCCTGATACATGCCACAGGGAAAAAATCCACTGGACTGTGGAGGTAATAGAATGGACGGTAGGGGAAAATATAAGAAAGCGTGGGGGAACTTGGTGCTTAAAAAGCTCATCTTATGCCCAAGGTCACCCCTCTTTCTTTCTGAGTACTTTTTCTTATCTTTGACCCTGACAAACATAACATTGTTCAAAGCTTTGTGTTTTATGAACTCTTAATTCCTTTTTCATGCTTTTCACTTTAGTGAATTGACTAAATGATCGGAATCATTCCTCTTTTGAAAATAAACTATTTGAACGTGCCTTGGGCTGCTGAGTGTGGGATTCGGCAGTGCTGTATGATAACTACCATGTCCTGAGACTAGATTGTATATTCCCTGATGCCCTGAACAATTATCTGAAAGTGTTGTTTGACTGGGATTATTGATGGTTTTTCTAATGCCTAGCAAATTAGGATTTGGAGTGTTAATAAGAAGTTTGTTCTGAAATGAAATCTCACAAGTAGCTTAGTGTTTTGCTTTAAACCCCTTTGAATATGCATGAAAACAAAAGGGAGTATTCTATAGCATTCTCTCAAGACTCCAGATAACACTGCTATTGTGTAGTTCCCTGATTCCCACAGCCTGAGGCATGCTTGTACTTTTAAAATCCTACCTTGGCCTGGGGTGGTGGCTCACGCCTGTAATCCCAACACTTTGGGAGGCTGAGGCAGGTGATTCACCTGAGGCCAGGAGTTGGAGACCAGCCTAGGCAACATGGTGAAACCCCATCTCTACTAAAAATACAAAAATTAGCTGGGCCTGGTGGCGGGCGCCTGTAGTCCCAGCTACTGGGGAGGCTGAGGCGGGAGAATGGCGTGAACCCGGAGACGGAGCTTGCGGTGAGCCAAGATCGTGCCACTGCACTCCAGCCTGGGTGACAGAGCGAGACTCTGTCTCAAAAAAAAAAAAAAAAAAAAAGCTGGGTGTGGTGGTACACACCTGTAGTCTCAGCTACTCGGGAGGCTGAGGCAGGAGAATCGCCTTGAGCTTGGGAGGTGGAGCTTGTAGTGACCCAAGATTGTGCCACTGCACTCCAGCCTGGGCAACAAAGTGAGACTCCGTCTCAAAAAAAAAAAAAAATCACACCTTATCCTCTGTCATAACATTGATCCCCCTGCACTATAACTGCTAATCTCCTCTAGATCTCCTCATTTCTCTCAAGAATCTAATCTCAATGAGGTCAGGGATTTTGTATCTCCAGCATCTGGCTCAGGAGAAACGAAATAATTAATGATGAGTGAATGAGTCCCAGAATTGTGGAAGCAAATATCATTGGCCCTTGAAGAAGGACCTCACTTAGGAGAGAGAGGGGGAGGGAAACAGAGTTACATTGGTCAAACAGGTAGGAAAAGCACTAAAATAGTATTCTATCATGGAAATATAGGAAAAAGAGGAGAAATGTTTGAGGAATTAGCAAATCCTATCTAGAGGTGAATGAGAATGAGAATTTAAAAAATGTTTTGGGATTTTTCCCAGTCATTAGTGGCTATAGATAGAATCAAGATCTCAAGGGATTAAGGAGAGAACACGAGATAAGGAAATGAGGGCGTAAGGTTAAAAAAACATGCAGAGAAGTGAGGCCACGAAAGGCAGATTTGGAAGTGGTTGAGCAGAAAGGCAGATTTGGAAGTGGTTGAGCAGAATGACAGAATCAAAGGCAGCATCCTTCTGAGGGAGGAGAACAGTGTTTGAGGGCAGAGATGGGAGGTTCCTTCAGTGTCCGTCTCCAGGTCCTCTGGTGTCACCCCTGCCGGTGATGGAGGAGCTGAGCTCTGAGCATCTCGCTGGTCTGTGTCAGGCTGAGTCAGCAGTCGGTTTATTGAGAAGCCATGTGTGCTAAGCCCTGTACTAACCCATTTTCTTTGAATGATGTTGCATCTTCCTTTTCCTACAGGGAACATGGTAGAATGGTGCTTACCTCAAGATATTGACCTCGAAGGTGTTGAGTTCAAGTCTATGGCCAGTGGGTCCCATAAAATACAATCTGATTTCATGTAAGTACTTCTGAACTGGAGTCTTCTTCGTACCATTCCCCCCATCTCCACACGCTCCCCAAAGCAGAAGGGCTCTTATTAGGAGGTCTTCATGTGCTGTGTGTAAATGCCTTGAAAATACGTGGATAGTTTTGTGTTTACATCATTTTTCTAGCAAGGTGTCTAGCTTTCATCAGATTCTCAATGGGCTTCATGACCTACAAATCTTAAGAATCCCTACCTGTAGAGGTTCTCTCAGTGTCTCAGAAATTACATGGGCCTCACCTGAGGTTTGGTTTTAATGAAAGTGCACGGCTTCAGCCCCGTGTGAGTTAACTGAGGACATCTATGTGTTCAACCTTGAAATTCCAGCTTCAAGTCAGGCCATTTTTCAGTCCTGTGTAGTGGCGCATTCAGAGAGTTTTGTGAGAAGGAACGATGGAAAGACCTTGAGGGTAATGAAGTGGCTTTAATCTCCTCATGGGGCTGAATTCATGACTGATACAAGTGTGAGAAAGAGGAGGAAATAAAACGGCAGCTCAATGAAAAATATCAGAGCCTCAGGAAGTGAGGGAAGAATCAACACGGTTTATGCTATGAAAGAGAGTCCTAGTTCCAGAGGAGCCTGAAGAGGAATGTTGGTTCTGCTTCTCCCATCCAAGTCATTAGTTGTGGTGCAGGAGAGAAGAGATGTGTCCCATGATCGCGGGCAGCTGAGCAGCAGACCTGCCAGGGACCAACTCCCAGCTCCAGCCAGGTGACCCTTGGCAAGTTCTGTAATCTCTTCAAGCCTTGCTCGTCTCATCGGTGAGGTCAAGTGGCTTGGCCTACTTGTTTCTTTGAGGCTGAGCTTTGTCATTGACAGCTCCAGACACGGTTCATTTGTTTTGTTTAGGAATGCATCTCAAAATTCCTCTCTGATCTTGAGCCACGCTATGTATTTGGTCTCTTCTAGCTATTTCCGAAAGGGGCCCTTCTTCGGCCTGGCCTGCTTTGCCAACATGCCAGTGGAGAGCGAGCTGGAACGTGGCGCGCGGATGAAGTCTGTGGGCATCCTCTCTCCCTCCTACACGCTGCTTTACCGCTACATGCACTTCTTGGAGAACCAGGTTCGGTACGTGGCTTCCGTACATGTGCAGGGAGGCAGCAGGATCCACCAGCTGGTGCATATGGCACGAGCCCTCGGAGACAGCACTTGCGTGCCAGAGCAGCAGATGTCTTTCCAAGAACATCCATGGTGATGTTTCACGCCTCGGGTAGTGTCCTTTCATTTCAGCCAACGTCCTGCATGATGAGTCTTCACTCTATAATGAAAGCCGGGGTATATTCTGCCTTCAGTTTGGATTTAATACTGCCATCACTTTTTTAAATTAAATCATTTGTTGACAGGTACATGATCTTTGTTTATTCAAAGCCACAATAGTTACCTCCTCGCCCCAAGTTGGCAAAGAAATCCTAAACTTTTTAAAAGCCTACTCTTTTTATTATTGGCATTCTTACTATGATTGGGATAATAGGAAGAGAACTTAAAAATATATATATTTTTGCTGGTAGACAGGCTCTTACTATATTGCCCAGGCTGGTCGTGAACTCCTGGAGTCAAGTGATCCTCCTGCCTCAGCCCGCCAAAGAGCTGGGATTATAGGCATGAGCCAAGTTGCCTGGGATAGGAAGAGAATTTTTAACAGAAGCAGCAAAACCATTAGTTACTTTACATTTTTTTCATCATGCAAGTAACCTAATTACATTTCAGATTTTGAGGGGAAAATTTATCCCTAATCCCTGAAGCACTGACAAAATGTTACCACTTCTTTTCTGTGTATGTGAGTACGTTTAAAATACATATTTGAGTATATACAATATATACTTTTATAGTCTATACTTTTAAAATTTATCACTATTTAAACATTTTTATGCAACATAATTGTGATCTTCAGCTTTGAAAGTGTGAACTTTGTTGTTTGTGGAAAAAACATGTTTATTATTTAAAAATTTATATGAAAGTACAAAGGATTTTAAAAAATCCTCTCAAATAGTAACACTCACAGATATCCATTGACAATATTCCATGAATGTGATTGTAGAATACAAATATCTTTACAAAAATAGGATTAATATTTTATAGATTTAATTTTCTCAAATAACAGGCTGTGTTAATGACATATATTAAACATAATTTTACTTATAACTTCAAGTAAATATTTTTTCACAGTAAGATACACTATTCATTGAAATATTCCTCCAAAATTAAGAAAAACGATTATGAAAAATGTGACAATATGTGACAAAATGTAACAATTGTTTACTGAGAAACAATATATAAACATTAAAATTGATCAGGAATGGTGGTTTACGCCTGTAATCCCAGCACTTTAGGAGGCCAAGGAGGATCAATTTAGGAGGATGAGTTGAAGCCAGGAATTCAAGACCAGCCTGGGCAAGAAAGCAAGATTCCAACTCTACAGAAACAAAAAAATTAGCCAGGCATGGTGGTGTGCACCTGTAGTCCTAGCTACTTAGGAGGCTGAGGTGAGACGATGGCTTGAGCCCAGAAGTTCTGAGCTATGATTGTGCCATTGCACTCCAGCCTGAGTAACAGAGCAAGACCCTGTCTAAAACATAAAAGTAAATAAAAAAATAAATTCTTGAATGGTTGAATTTTACCATCAAACACGTTTCTTTCTTTGAAAGGATCTTGCATGATCAATACCGTTGGCCTGTTCCCTTTATCCTCAGCTGGTTGTACAGTTCTTGAATGCTTTCTTCTTCCCCTCAGGATGCTATAGATACTGTTCTACTGTTATCTGAAATTAGCCCTTTTGGAGAAGTTTCTCCATCCAGATACCTATAGAGTTTATCTTTGTCTGTGCTGTTTCTGAAATTGCCAAATGTTTTGTTTTGTTGTTTGTTTTTGTTTTTGTTTTTTGAGACGGAGTCTTGCTCTGTCACCTAGGCTGGAGTGCAGTGGTGTGATCTTGGCTCACTGCAACCTCTGCCTCCTGGGTTCAAGCGATTCTCCTGCCTCAGCCCCCTTAGTAGCTGGGATTACAGGGGTCCGCCACCATGCCTGGCTAATTTTTTTTTTTTTTAAGTAGAGACGGGATTTCATCATGTTGATCAGGCTGATCTCGAACTCCTGACCTCGTGATCCACCCACCTCGGCCTCCCAAAGCTCTGGGATTACAGGTGTGAGCCACTGCGCCCGGCCTGAACTTGCCAAATGTTTATTAGTTCATATCAGAATGTTCTGGGATAGTTTGTCCCCTTTGCTCAATAGATAGATCTTTTGTTTTTAACTTTAGGAACTTTTTCTTCTGTAATAAAATATTTAACTTTTGCGTTCTGGTTTTTCCTTCTCCAGGAATGCCTGTCATGCATATATTTTCTCCCCATTGTCTTCCATGTTTGTCATTTTGATGATTATTTTAATAGCTCTTTATTGCTGGAGCTGTCCCATACATTTATTGGTTATTCTCTGTGGCTGAACATGCAGCATGTTTCTATTAACTGTTTATTTTTTTTAGCTGCTCCTCTACCTTTTGGAGCTGTGGAAAATACATTTGCACATATATTTTTTTCTGTATTCAAAATATTTCCTCAGTTTTTTCTTTTTTGTTTCAGAAGTAATATTATGAAGTTCTAAAAAAGACCATTTTATTGGGATTTTGACACTTTTAAAACAATATTATTCCTTTTAAAAAGCTAATTTTCCAAGTAGGCAACACAGTCTCATGGTTCAAAATCCAAAAATTTTAAGGTGTTATTATATTAGTTAGGGTCCTGGCTAAAAGCAAGAACAGAGGCCCAAAATTACTATGGCCCAATTAAGATAAAAGATTATTGCTCATGTCATAGCATAGAGGTAGGCAGGTGGTCAAGTTAGGTAGCCTGCTGTGTTCCATACAATTGTTCAGGGACCCATATTCATCTCTTGTTAGTCTACCATATCCTAAGAATGGTTTTGTATTGCAAGGTGCTCTTTCCCAAATGTTGAAAGCTGCTCACTGCTATTATGTTTGCATTTCAGCTCATAGGGAAGAGGGAAAGACTAGAATTTACATATCTCACTTCTCTTACCTATCTCACTTCTCATATTCCATTGTCAAGTTCTCAATCACAGAGACACACCCAACAGCAAAGCAGACTGGGAAGCATCACTACTAGGTGGGTGACCCTGTGACCAGTTAGAACTCTGGGGCATTGGTTACAGACAGGAAGAAGGGAAGGCTTGACTTTGAGAAAAAGTCAACAGCTTCTGCCTCAGTTTGCCCCTCTGGCCACTCAGGTATCCATGTGTACTCTTCTTCCCACTTGTAAAGGCCATAACTCCCAGCCTCATGTGATCTACCCACCTCGGCCTCCCAAAGTGCTGGGATTACAGGCATGAACCACCGCGCCCGGCCTTTTCTTATTCATTTCTAGGAGTTTGTACGATAGGGAAATTTTTTCTTTGTTATATAAATTGAAAACTTATATAACACTTTGTCATTTGTCTTTTAACATTACCTTCTTGTCATATAGGTGTTTTTCTTTGAATTCATTCATCTTTTTATGGCTTCTAGATTTTGAGTCATAGCTAGAAAAGTTTTACAGCTTGGTGATTAAAGAGGGCTATAGGTAACAGAAGAGACTTACATGACAGAGTATGAGGAAAAGAAGGAAGCACAGTTAGATAAGCTCAGGTCTAGGTTAGGATAATACTTGAATACAGCAGCAGCTTTTACATGAATTCACTAGTCTTCATTTCTGCAGCACTTAATCTGTGTTTTTTATTTCTTCTGACTTCCAATGTTCCAAACCTATTTACTTGTATTTCATCTACAATTTTTGCCCTCAGTATCTCTAAAGAGTCTTTTTAATGGTTATTTCTAATGAATCAGAAGATATTGGAGAACTATTTCATAATTTTACAAATTAAATTAGAAAAGGCAAGAGGGACTGTTATTGAAGAAACGGACCCATGACTCATAACCACATTTTACCTTGCTCAGATCTCGATTCAAACCAACTGTGAAATAGAGTTTGGGGGACAGTGGCTATATTTTGAATGTGGACTGGATATTTATATTAAGGCATTATTATTAGGTGAGATAATGGCATGGTGATTATGTGTTAGTTATTTAAACAGATTTTATCAGTTAGAGATGCCTTACAAAGCATTTATCAATGAAATGTTATGAGGTGGGATTTTCTTTAAGACATTCTAGGAAAAAAAGTGGTGATGGTAAGGTATAGGGTATAGATATAACCATATGGATCAAATATTATTGAAGCTAGATGATAAATACATCCGGAGGTGGAGGTTGCAGTGAGCTGAGATCGCGCCACTGCACTCCAGCCTGGGCAACAGAGCGAGACTCCGTCTCCAAAAGGGAAAGAAAAAAAAAAGGATTATTGAGGTCATTTAGTATGTAAATTTTGTAACTTGGTATATTAACCTTTCCGGTGTATCATGAATTATAGTCCTCAATATTATTGTGGTTTCACAGCATTTCAATATATAGATACATCACAATTTATTTAACTGTTTCACTGTTATTGGGGTTTTAGGGTGTTCCTTATTTTTTTCACCACCGTGCACATTAGCATCCTTATGAGTAAATGACTGTTCACATCTAGAAATAGTTCTTTAGGCCACAATCCGAGAAGGGGAATCATTGGATCAGAGGATATATACAATGTACAATTTAATACAAGCTGTAAGTTACGCTACAGAAGGTGGTGCCATTGTATCCCTGCACCAGCAGTAATAAATGGGGGTGCTTATTTTTCTGCATTTGCAAAGCCAGGAACTAGGAGGCGATTTGTTCAGACAGATATATACATATATATACACACACACACAGACACATATATACACATATGTAAATACACACACACACACACACACATATATATATATATATATATATTTTTTTTTTGGAGACAGTCTTGCTCTGTCACCCAGGCTGGATGCAATGGTGTGATCTTGGTTCACTGCAACCTTCACCTCCTGGGTTCAAGCAATTCTTGTGCCTCAACTCCCTAGTAGCTGGGATTTTTAGTAGAGACAGGTTTCACCATGTTGGCCAGGCTGGTCTGGAACTTCCGGCCCCAAGCGATCCGCCCACCTCACCCTCCCAAAGTGCTGGGATTATAGGCATGAGCCACCACGCCCGGCCTGTTCAGACCAATAATTAACACACCAGAGTGATGAAGTGTAATTGTTGCACGAGGCATCTCTGATTCCGATTGTGGATGATTTATTGCTGGTGTGGTAGGGACAGGCAGGGTCAGTTGCATTGGGCATCTGCATGGCCACATATGGCTGTGTTTTATCAGTGAAGGAGCTGTGGGCTTAAGGAGAATCCCAGTGTCTCTGGCCCAGCAGCCTATGGCTTCAGATTAATAATATATGTTGAGCCAGTTGTTCTCTAGTTTTTACAGTGTCGCGGCTCTTGGATGGTTTCCATAGGTGGTTTGGCATAGATTTCAGTGTGGTGGTTTCTCAATTTCTGCATTCTTGTAGGTAAGTTCACCAGGAAGGGCTCCTTTGACATCATCTTTGAAGACTAACTGATCCAGCACTCTGAGCCTTGTTTCAGTACTTTTCGGTCTTTCTTGATATTGTGGTTTGACAATCTTGTTTGTTGCAAAATCTGTAGTGTGTTTAAATTTTGAGGCTTTCATACAACAGTTGCTTAACATTCATCCAGGAACTGCCAATTTTTGTTTTTGTCTATGTTCAGATTCCATATTATTGCCTTGTTCTGTCCCATCAGTCAGGAATATCTGAGGCAGTCAAAGGACAGAATCCTCATATTAGTTCTTTGTCTAAAGGACTCTAACTTTTGTACCGAACTTTTCTTTAGAATCATGATTCAAGTATACAGTTTAATGTAGTCAAACAGAAAAGGCAATTGAGCAGCAAATCAGCAAACAATAAACATAGAAAATGAAAAAATATTACCTTGACACAGCCCCCTTTAACACAGAAAATATAGTAGTATTAAAAATATAATGAAATGATTCTCAGTATTTTTAGGGAAATTTGATCCTAATGAAACACCTTTGAATGAAAAAATATAAATTACCCCTGACACAGCCCCCTTTAACACAGAAAATATAGTATTAAAATATAATAAAATATTCTCAGTGTTCTTTTTAGGGAAATTCCATCCTAATAAAAACACCTTTGAACATAATTGCCTTTGTGTGATTTTTCTGTGAATCAAACTTTGATCAGTTTGACCAGCTTCCCTAAAAAGTATCTGAAATTGCCATCTTCTCAGAATAGTCAGACACAGCTTAGACCATGGGTTTCCTGTCTAGCTCATGAACATTTGTAAAAGTGAACTAAATGATTATAAGCACCCTCCTCCCAACTAGTTATTTGTTACAGGAGGACTGCCTCCTTGTCAAAACTTAAAATGTATAGGAGCCCTGAAATTGGAGCTATCATCCATCTTACATTAGTAATCATTATATGAATATAGTAATGATTTTTTTTTCCTTTTTAAAATATAAATTTGTCTGAAGGTCTGTTGTCATCACTTTGACATAAGAGCTGTAAGTCAGTCTAGAGTGGAGATGGTTGGAGAATGGAAGACTGTAGTTGGTTGATGAAATCTTGGCTCTGAACAGTTTGTGTCATAGTTTGGGGTAAGCCACTGTGGCAGTTTGCAGAGGCAGTGTGGCAGCGGGGAATGCCTATTTTTAATCACTGCTGTTCCAGGGCCAACCATAATTAGGGATGTTTCCCTTGCTCAGTGAAGCCGTATTTTGCTTTTTGTTCATTGATTGATGGAAATTGTAGGACACTGAGAAAATAACGATGGGCTAAGAGGGTTTTGGTGCCTTTTATTCCTCCCTCAATTAGGGCTTTTCCGGGCCTGCATAACAAAGTGCCAAAAACAGCAGAAACATAGTGTCTCACAGTTCTAGAGGCTGGAAGTCCAAAGTCAAGGTCTCAGCAGTGTGAGTTCCCTTTGGGGCTATGAGGGAGAATCCGTTCCAGGCCTCTCCCCTAGCTGCTGGTGGATGCTGGCAATCTTTGGGGTTCCTTGGCTTGTAGATGCATCATCCCAGTCTCTTGTCTTCATGTTCACCTGCTGTTTGCTGTGTGTGTGTGTCTCTGTGTCCAAAAGTCCCCTTTCTATAAGGACAGCATTCATACTGGACCAGGGCCGGCTCCAGTGACTTCATTTTAACTCGATTACCTATGTAAAGATGCTATCCAAATAAGTTCCCATTCTGAGCGAGGTGCTGGGGCCCCATCTTTTTTGTGGGGACAAAATTCAACCTATAACACCCCCATTAAACATAGTGACAAACAGTCCTCACAGTGCTCCTGAGCTCCACTGGGGGGCAGGATTCTCCACTGTCCAAATGGCCCAGGGTGCTGCCTTCTGGGGTCTGGGGTCTGGGGTCAGCCAGCAGGGCCAGCCACAGCCAGGCTCTGCGACCCGAGCCAGTGGGGCGGGCAGAGAAGAGATTCTGATGCTTTTTATTTCTTTATTATTATACTTAATGCAGAAATTATGAGCCCTGATGATATCCAATAATAATTGTTTCCCCTTATTTGAGACATTGGAGGTAAGCTTCTCCGTATTCTTCCATAACCACAAAGCAAGCAGGCAAGCGTGAGGTCTCTAAACAAAGAGCGGCTTTAAGCAGGGAATGTTAGGCTTCCAGGCTGGCCCTTCTCACAGGACGCGGCCATTCTCTGGGAAGTGGCACCCAGTCTGCGGCGTACCTTGCTCAAGAACAATAGACATTAGTCATAGTCTGTTAATTCTGTCTGTTTCCCATGAGAAAAAGAATGTGTTCCATGGTGCTGTCAGGGAGTTTCAGGCCCATGTTTGAACTTTTCTTGAGGATCTTCTGTCGCATCAAAGGAGGTGACCTAAGCAGCCTCCAAATGGGGATCTTTGGAGTATGTCAGGGCCTTTGCCCCTGAGTGTTACAGCCCTTGAGGTGGGTGGGGGGTAGGAGTGGTAGCAGAGCTGTGACCAGGGCTGTTCTCACTGTGTGTTTGTGTGTGTGTGTGTGTGTGTTCGTGTGTGTATGTATGCATGCATGCATGTATGCATGTGTGTGTTTTTCTGCAGGCACCAGCTGGAGATGCCAGGACATTACTCTCATCTGGCCGCCTTCTATGAGGACAAAAAGGGGGTGCTCCATGCTGGTCCCGGCAGAGGCAGCAGCCTGCCCCCTGTCTACTGGCTGCCTTCCATCCACCGATACATGTACCCTGAGATGAAGGTGAGGTTAGCCCTGCTTTTCTTACGCGATACTGGATCTGTGTCTGGGAATAGTAGCTGTCGATTAATTTTTAATGAATAAAACATTTATGTCTTTGGATCATACAAAATATCTACTTTTGATAGAGTAGAGTTGCAACATAGGCATTTGGTTTGTTTAAAACATAAAGCAAGTTATCTTAAACAATATGCTTTCTAGACACTTCTGTAATCATAGTATAAAGGCGTGATAGGCCAGTCGTGAAAAGATGGATTTACTTCTGTTGATTGCTTCTGATATTTTAACACCAGACATTTGAACTAAAGATGAAGAGTTTGATGAATAAGTATGACATTTCTTAGTGAATATACTTTTGATGTTACTTCATTTTGTATTTGTTTCTGAAGTACTTTGGCTTTGTACAGTTAGCAAAACACCCAGCGAAGCGTTAGGTGTTGGAAGGGTGCAAATATGACTAAGAACATGAATCTCCTCTTTCTCTTTCTTCTCTGTCCCCTGTGGTTGGCCACAGGATGTTTCCATGGAAACCTAGGGCTCCTCTGGTAGAGAAATTATGCCAAGAGTCCAAGGGAGAACTCTGGGAAAGATGTCTTAGGAGAGGATGCGGTCCCTGAGTATTTGGCTAGGTGGAGAGTGAGGATTGCTGATTCCAGAACCAGGAAAGGTGTGAGCAGCAGTGAGGACCATGGTCTGTCACTCTCTTAGCACCTTCTGGGAGTTACGCATTGTGCCAGCTATTTATCTATACCTGTCGCAGCATTCTCTACAATAAATGTTTTTTTAATCCTTGTTTTCCAGCGAAAGCAACCGGAGCTTATAAAGGGCTAGTGACTGCTTTAGGTCTTATAGCTAATAGGAGTTAGAGCCAAGTTTTAAACAGAGGTCTAGTGCTACAGCCAGTGCATGTGTCCTGCCCCACTTTATTGTCTTTGCAGAGATATGGACACGGAAAAATGCAAGACAAGTTCATGGGACATGAGCAAACTAGTTTGGCTGGGATTAAGTCAGCCGGCATGAGGGAAATGATTGGAGAACTAGGTTCTGAAATTAGATTGTAGAGAGCCTTAAATAGTAGACCTTGGAACTTGAATCCTAATAAGTACCAATTAGGGACTTACCGGGAAAAGAGACCATGCTAGGTATTTCAAACTATTTTAATACAGGAAATCAGTAATATAGGAGTTGGAAGGCTGAAGGAGTAGAAAAGGAATAGGTAACCAATATATTAGTAATCATAGACAATAGCCTGACTAACACCCTATATTAGTCATCTATTGCTGTGGAACAAATTATCCCCAAATTAATGTTTTAAAACAGTATATATTTATTATTTCACAGCTTCTGTAAGTCAGGAATCCCAGCATGGCTTAACCAGATTCTCTATGTCATGATCTCTCATGAGATGGTATCAGCCAGGGTTAGGGGATCATCTGAAAGTTTGACTGGGGAGGTGTCCACCTCTAAGATCATGTGGGTGTTGGCAGGATTGAATTTCTTGAGGACTGTTTTGAACTGAAGGCCTCAGTACCTTGCTAGCTGTTAGTTGGGGGCTCCCCTCAGTTCTTAGCCATGTGGGTCTCTCCACTATGCGAGGTTGCTTTATCTAAGCCAGTAAGAGAGTGTACTAGCAGGATGGAAGTCAGAACCCTTTGTAACCTAATCATGGAAGTGACAGCCCTGCAATGTCACCATATTTTCTTAGAAGCAAATTAAGAGGACGAGGGGATCGCATAAGGCTATAAATACCAAGAGGTGGGTATCACTGGGGACTATCTTAGAGGCTGCCTTCTACCCTCCCCTAGGGCTGGGGTAACAAAGCAAGAGAAGCAGAATGATCAAAACCATGGGAGCCTGCAGGAGGGGTCCCTACACAGCCAGTACTCAGATCACTGAGGGAGGCACTGCGCATCTATGCTGGGACCTCTCAGGAGGTGTGGCTGCACCTGTGCTGTGCATGCTGAGGAAAGCTGGAGACTGGAGTCGTGGGTGTCTTCTGCTGCTGGAGAAATACTAGCTGGAGCAAGAAGCTGAAGAGATTTCCTTCTGCCTTTCAATCCACAATCCTTGCTCTCCATTGAAGAACTCTAACAGGAAGCCAATTGGCGTGTGAGTTTAGGAATTGTCCTTTACAGGTTTCCCAAGCCCATGGTATAGGCTGAGAGACAATCATTAAGAAATGGTCAGAGGGCCATTGGAGGTACTCTGGGCTTGCACTGACCTGAGTCCTGTTCTCTTTCTGTCTGCTCATAACTGAGACCCATTTTTCCCTTCAGAGTCAAATTTCTGTTGGAATTATCTCCAAATCTACAGGGAGGTGACCTGCATGTGACCTAAATGTACTCATATTCCTCCCCATAAGAGTCCAGAGATGAGGGACTAAGGGAGAAAAAAGAAAACTGCCCATGCTTTTGAGGACAGCTCATTAACATAACTGTTAGACCCTAGGAGATGCAGGGAAGAGGGTACTGTCATGGTTGCAGATACAAATGTGGAGTGTCATCTTTTTACAAAACAGTATGTCAGCACATCAAAATAAAAAACATGGCCAGGCATGGTGGCTCACGCCTGTAATCCCAGCACTTACGGAGGCCAAGGCGGGCGGCTCACTTGAGGTCAAGAGTTCGAGACCAGCCTGGCCAACATGGTGAAATCCTGTCTCTACTAAAAATACAAAAATTAGCCAGGCTTGGTGGTGGGCACCTGTAATCCCACATACTCGGGAGGCTGAGGCAGGAGAATTGTTTGAACCTGGGAGGCAGAAGTTGCCGTGAGCCAACATCGCACCACTGCACTCCAGCCTGGACGCCAGAGTGAGACTTCTCTAAATAAATAAACAAATAAATAAATAAAACATACGTGGCTTTTGTTTCAGCAACTTTACTCCTCAAGATCTATCTACCAGAATGATGTATGTGTAACAATATTTAATTCAACATTGTTCACAGTGGTAGAAAACTAGAAGGCCTATGTATTGAAAGCCATGGCGAATAGTGAATTAGAGCATAAGATGACGACATGGAAGGACCACCAGATCTCATTTGTGTGAGAATGGCAAGGTGCAGAAAACTTATCATCACTTGATATCTGCAGGGCCTTGGTTCTGGGCGACCTGCCTCAGATACCCAAATCTGCAGATGCTGAAGTCCCCATATAGTAGGGTGTAGTCTGTGCGTGTAACTTACGCACATCCTCCCATATACAGATACTCCTCAACTTACTGTGGGTTTACACCCCCCTAAGCCCATTGTAAGTTGAAAACATTGTAAGTCAAAAGTGCATTTAATGCTGGCAACGCAGCCGACAGTCTATGACTTACGATGGGTCCACTTAATGTATGATTTTTCGACTTTATGATGGTGTGGAAGCAATGCGCATTCAGTAGAAACCATAATCCCATCAAAGTCTTAAGGAGCTTCTTGACTTACCATGGGGCTACCTCCTAATAAACCCATCATACAGTTGAAAACTTGGTAAGTTGAATCATGGTAAATCAGGGACCTTCTGTGCTTTAAATCATCTCTAGATTACTTATAATACTTCATACAATGGAAATGCTATGCACATAGTTGTTATACTGTGTTGTTTTTTACATACATTTATTATTGTTCTTTATTTTTCCAAATATTTTTTATCTGCACGCAGTTGGTTGAATCTAAGGATATGGTATCGGGATACAGAGGGCCGGCCGACTGTACATGTGATATGATTACACTGTTGTTAAACAGTCACAGTCTCTGTCTAGATAGACACATACACACACCCAGACATAAACATGGAAAGTATTGATGGGTATATACAAGCTTAAGATATGTATTCCCTGGGATGAGGTAAAGTATGGGATGGGGTAGGGCAAGGCTTACAAGTATTAAAAAGGCAGGGCCAGGAAAAAACAAATGATGACACTTAAAAATAGCATGTATGTCCCAGCACTTTGGGAGGCCAAGGCGGGCGGATCACGAGGTCAGGAGATTGAGACTATCCTGGCTAACACAGTGAAACCCCGTCTCTACTAAAAAAGACAAAAAAATTAGCCAGGCGTGGTGGTGGGCGCCTGTAGTCCCAGCTACTCGGGAGGCTAAGGCAGGAGAATGGCATGAACCCAGGAGGCAGAGCTTGCAGTGAGCCGAGATCGCGCCACTGCATTCCAGCCTGGGCAACAGAGCGAGACTCCGTCTCAAAAAAAAAAAAATAGCATGTATGATATAATACTTGTCATGGATGGAAAATAATGTAATATATCTTTCAGTTTTTATTGAAATATAACATTTAATAGGAATAAGTTCAAAAATAGTATATATGATTATTTGTCATGTATGGAAAATAACGTATATATATCATTAAGCTTTTTATTGAAATATAAAACTTTAAAGAAGTAAGTTCAAAAATCATATGTATATAATTCAATGAATTTTTACAACATGAACACACGTATAAAGGAAAACTTTAAGTCTGGGCACAGCAGCTCATGCCTGTAATCCCAGCACTTTGGGAGGCCAAGGTGGGTGGATCATGAGATCAGGAATTCGAAACCAGCCTAGCCAACATGGTGAAACCCCGTCTCTACTAAAAATGCAAAAATTAGCTAGGCATGGTGGCGCACGCCTGTAATTCCAGCTACTTGGGAGGATGAGGCAGGATAATTGCTTGAACCCGGGAGGCGGAGGTTGCAGTGAGCCGAGATAGCGCCACTGCACTCCAGCCTGGGCCACAGGGCAAGACTCCCTCTCAAAAAAAAAAAAAAAAAAAAAAAAAAAACTTTAAAGAAGTAGACTTTTAATGTAGGAGTCAGATATAGGACTGTTTCAGAGGGAAAGAAAATAAACTGGAAAGGAAGCAGAGGGAAGAGGAAGACCTCTCCGAGAGATCCAGATGTGGCTGTTAAATGCTCCCTTTAGGAAAATGGGGGAGTGGGAGAGGGATATAGGGGAGGAGGGTTGGGCCCCAGGAGTGGAGGGCTTCCCTAGTGGCAGGCATGGGTCTTATCAGAGCCTGCTATGGAGACTGAGCTGACAGAGGTTAGGGAGTAAAAAGAAATTGGAGTGAAAAGAGGATGGAGTATGGACTTGAAAGGTTGGAGGGAAAACATGAAGGTACACACTAGAGACATCAAGGAAAGAGAGATCTCTGTAAAAGCCACAGAGAAACAAGGCTGGAAAAAGGGAAAGAGATGTCAATGAAAGCAGGAGAAATTTCTGTTGCATGTGCAGTGAGCCTGGTAAAGTAAGGAGGGGTGAGAAGTCTCTAGAGCTGACTCTTTTAGAAGAGAAGAGGTAGTCCTATGGGCAGTGCTTCCTGGCATGGGCTGGGCACAGGACCTGAACTACTTGCAGGTCCCAAGAAGGGCCATGTTCCCTCTTACCTGCACGCCTTTGTATGTGAACACCTTCCCCCAGATTCATCTGTTTTTTTAGTTTGTTTTGTTTGTTTTGAGACGGAGTCTTGCATTGTCGCCCAGGCTGGAGTTCAGTGGCACGATCTCAACTGACTGCAACCTCTGCCTCCCAGGTTCTAGTGATTCTTCTGCCTCAGCCTCCCAAGTAGCTGGGATTACAGGCACACGACACCACACCCAGCTAATTTTTTGTATTTTTAGTAGAGATGGGGTTTCACCATGTTGACCAGGCTGGTCTTGAACTCCTGACCTTGTGATCTGCCCACCTCGGCCTCCCAAAGTGCTGGGATTACAGGCGTGAGCCACAGCGCCCAGCCTCAGATTCATCTTTATGTCAAAGCTTCAACATCACTTCCCCCAGGAAGTCTTTTCTGTCTGTCCTAGAGTGGGATGAGGCACCTCTGGTTTGCTCCACCAACCCCCATTCTTCTCCCATCACGGCTCCCATCAGGCTGTATTTTAAATGCTTGTTTACCTGTTTCTCCCACTAACCTATAAAATATACGCTGGGCGAGCCCTGCCTGGCCTCCATGTGGTGGAAGAACAAGTTGGACGCTTGAAGATAACCAGTGGGAAAGCTGGGAGGAACCGGGGCATGCTTTGGCGCCCTTTCCTATCTGATTGCTGTTAAGACTTTGATGAGAGATAGTGATTGGAGGGATGCAACCAGCCTTGGTCACTTGGTGCCTCTCCTCCTCATGATTTGGGATGTGGTGGCAGAGGAGTAGGCATGGGTGGCAAATGGCATGCTCAGCGCAAGGTTGCCTTTATCCTGGCATGGGGTAGGGAAGTGGTATCAGTGCAGGAGTGATGCCTTGGAAAGGGATGTCCTCTCTGGGTACTGCAGATGCAGCTTCGGAGGGCCCAGGACAGCCCTGACCTGGACAGGCAGAGTGCAGAGGCTGCCCTGAGGCTCGGGTGTAGGTGCCCCCGAAGGCTGGTAGTTGTTAAACCCTAGCAGGCAGCCTGGGAGTCGGTGCCTCTCTCAGAAGTGCTCTTGCCTGCCTCCCTAATGGGTGATGAGCTCTTACTTCTGGCACTTTGGCATGGAAGTGACCTTTCACAAAGCTTACGGGGTTTGTGAGGCCTGGGGTTTGAAGCCTTTCTGTTCTAAAAATAGCTTTGGCTGTTTTTATGTGCTATTTCATGTTTTGTCTCAGGCAGTCCTTATAGCCCTACAAGGTAAGTGATGATTCCGTAGTTCACAGTTAAGGATAGTGAACTGAAAACATTAGCTAACTTTCTCCAGATCTCCCTGTTAGTAAATGGCAGGGCCAGGATTGGAATTCAGCTCTTCCTGGGATCAGAGCTTATGCTCTTAACCCCTATGATACTCCTTGGCTCAGGGTTCCCAGAAGGCAATTCAGGGGTTGCCAGTTAGTGTCAGAAAGAAGAGTGGGGCCAGTCGTGGTGGCTCATGCCTGTAATCTCAGCACTTTGGGAGGCCAAGGTGGGTGAATCACTTGAGGTCAGGAGTTCAAAGCCAGCTTGGCCAATGTGGTGAAACCCTGTTTGTACTAAAAATACAAAAATTAGCTGGGCTTGGCGGTGCATGCCTGTAATCCCAGCTACTTGAGAGGCTGAGGTAGGAAAATCGAACCCAGGAGGGTGGAGGTTGCAGTGAGCCAAGATCACGCCACAGCACTCCAACCTGGGTGACAGAGTGAGTGAGACTCCATCTCAAAAAAAGAAGGAAGAGTGGTCAGAGGTGAAGTGTAGCCGGGATTATGCCAGGGGCTCCTTCCTACCTGTGACTTCTGCAGACACCTCACTTTGCACAGTAGTAGTCCTGTAGATTTGGGATCTGACTGGGGACTGTTTGCTCATTGTGTTATTACTTACAGGGCTTAGTAATGTTTTCAAGTTGAGTTTTCTTATTGAAGCAGAATGTGTCTTCAGAGATGCTTTTATTCTGATTTTTTAAAATTTAAATTTAGCTTTGTTTTCTTTGCATTGTTCTCCTGAGTAAAAGAATGATCTCTAAACTCAAACATCAGTGTATCAGGGAGCTGTTGTATTATAGAAATCCAGTTTAAAGGTAAGACTTTTAAAGTGAAAAACATCATTTTGTGTGGAAATAAGCATCCTTTAATGTATCTGTTTGGATGGACTTCAGAATTTCGGAGGTGAGGATTAGATACCTTTAGCTCTATTTCTAACAAGCTGTTCCTCACTCTTTCTCCTCCCTATTCCCCTCAATTTTTTCAGATCACACACCCAGCTGGCTGCATGTCTCAGTTTATAAAGTTCTTTGGAGAACAGATCCTCATCCTCTGGAAATTTGCCTTACTTCGAAAGCGCATTTTGATATTTTCTCCCCCACCTGTGGGCGTGGTGTGCTATAGAGGTAACCAGAAGCCAGAGTCAGGGGTGCTGCTTAAATCCCTGGAGCAGAAACTGCTTGAGTCTTTCTGTCACTGATCAAGTTTGGAAGAGTTTGGGCCACATCAAGGGGATGGGGTTTTAAGCCCAGGAATGACCTGATTGGCTGTGAACGCAGGTGACAATGTAGAAGATGGGTTGGATGACACATCAGTGGCGTGGCCAAAGATTAGGGTCTGGATTAAAGCAGAGAAGATGCATTCTAGATGTATTTTAAAGAAACTGGACAAAACTTGTCAGATTGGATTGTAAAGGTTCTGATGTGTGTGAGGCTGCAACGGAAGAGTCTAGGATAACAAGGGTGGTGGGGCCACCAGATGGGGGACTGAGGAGCAGCCGGGGGCTGGCTTGAAAAGGTTAGTGTGGGATGTGATGAGGGTGTGCTGCCTTGAGACCGTCACAGCAGGGGTGTCCACCCACCCTGCATAGCTGGGTCAGGACCTGTGGGCGTTTGAGCTGGAGATAAAGATTTGAGGGAGATAGATTATTTCTGCACTCATATCTGAGATGGACAGCATTACCTGGGGAAAGCACAAGTGTGGAGGGGTGTTCCAGACACAGGAGGTGGACCAGAAAGGTGGAAGGACAGAAAGGACTGGGGAGGGACAGGCAGAAGGGGGAACCAGAAGACACAAGGGTTATAGAGGCCAGAGTTCTGACAAGGTCAAATTCTAAGCAAGACCAGCTAGAGAGAGACTGAGAAATGTTTATGGGGTTTGGGAAGCATGTTGCCGACATCACCTTGAGGGATCAGTTTCTCCTGTGGGACCTAAAGAGGCTTGCTACCTCCAGTCTCCTCAGAATGCCAGGGCCACCTGGCTCCTGAGGCACCAGATAGCCTAGAGCAGAGGTGTTGAGCTGCAGGCTCCAAGGGAGGAAGGGGGTGGAGGGGCAGACCCTCCCCGCTCACCTCCTCTGTCCCCACAGTGTACTGCTGCTGCTGCTTGGCCAACGTTTCACTGCCTGGCATCGGGGGCACCATTCCTGAGTCCAAGCCTTTCTTCTACGTGAACGTGGCCGACATCGAGAGCCTGGAGGTAGAGGTGTCCTATGTGGCCTGTGAGTACGGGGCCCTCCCCTCATCTTGCCCTCAGGTCCCAGCCCTGCTCCTGCCAGACGCGGGGCTCCTGGGAGCCTTGCTTCCCAGTGGGGTCGGGTGGGTTCCCGCCTCTCTAACCCCGGGTTCCACAGGCACCACAGAGAAGATCTTTGAGGAGAAGCGGGAGCTGTATGACGTCTACGTGGATAACCAGAATGTGAAGACACACCACGACCACCTGCAGCCGCTGCTGAAGATCAACAGCGCTGACAGGGAGAAGTACTGCCGGCTCAATGAGCAGAGGTAGCGGCAGCTACGGGGAGAACCGGGGCTCCACCCTCCTCAGGGCAGCTCCAGCATGGGGTCTCTGCAAAGCCTGTCTTCTGTCCCTTCCCTGAAGCATTTCTGCCAGTCTCCATGCTGCCTGGGATGGAGATGGAAACGAAGGGAAGCCCTGCAGTGGAAGAGGCCAGGCTCCCTGTATGCTGCCCTGATAGGAGGGGAGTAGATCCACGGTGCTGGTTTCTTTCTTCTCATGGACTTTGGAATCTGAGCACCTTGACTGAGCACCTTCATTGTGTTGGTCGCTGTATTAGAAGCTTGCTTATATGTATCTGATGTCATTCTCAATAATCTGGTGATCCTATGAAATAAATGTTATCATCATCCCCCACTGATAGACAACTAGGAAAGATTGTTACTTGCCTAAGATTACCAGGGGCAGAACTGGCCCTGGACCCCAGGAATTTTGAGTCCAAACCCTGTTGATCCCTTTCCTGGCTGGTGCTGCTTCCTGGGAGGTGGTGGCCCATTGAAGATGCCTGGCTGAGGCCTCACCTGTGACTGGGGTCCTGGTACCTGCACCAGAGTCTCATGGTTCTCTCCTTCCCAACAGGCAGATGCTGTTGTACTCCCAGGAGGTAGAAGAAGACTACAACCCTTGTGAAGAGGACCTCTTCGTGCTGTGAGTCCTGGGGCCGTGGGCGTGGGGTCTCCCTGAGGATCCCTTCAGCACTGAGTGACCTGCATCCCTCCCATGTCACTCACTGCAGACCAGGGATGCCCTTTATTGCTGCCAAGGGCACTTAGAGCCAGGCTCCTTACAGAGGCAAACCTGAGCCCTGAAATGCCATTGGGGGAACCCAGAGGACTTACGGAAAGAAGCAGGGCCCTTAAGAGAAAACAGGAGTCTTAGTGTTTCTTTTCTTGTTGGGCTTTTACATCAAGGATGTCCACTGCATAGAAGCTGTCTGTCCCTCAGGATTCAGGGACTTCTCCTTTCCATTGCCTCCTTTGAATAGAGTAGTTCCTTGCACTGAGTATTATGGGATAATCTGAAATTTTAATTCTTGAATCAAATGAAATCTCTTTGCCCCGTAGGGGTAGGAACCAGGGCCTTTCCACCTCACAGCACTGACTTCATTCCTAGACAGCTGGGTGCAGTAGCCTTCTGTGCTGGGAACTGAATTCTCCCAGCTTCCTCTTTGGTCTTCCAGGGCTGAGGTTGTGGTTTGATGTTGAAAACTTAATGTGGGCATTTCTACAAAGGTGTAGCATCTTGATTCTAATAGTGGACTTCCTAAAACCTACATCCTGTTTAGGTGGAAAGTATCTGAGACTTGAGCACAGCCACAGTCTCATCCAGTATGACATGTACCACTGTGTCTGAAATTCCTGAGCACCCAAGGCCACTTCAGGTACCGGGCACTTTGCAGACCTGAGAGCTGTATGGGGCTGGATTGTCTAGTCTAACTAGACAGTGAGCGCTGCCCTGAACGGGGCTTGTTTGTTCATAAAGCACTCTAAAGCAGTGACTTTTAAATCTTGATCTGTGCATCTCACTCCTCCCAAAGAGTCATCAAGGGAGAGCAAACACCCAAGGGTAATGTTGGCTCATGTTCATTTTGTTGGTGTTGTTGAATTTTTGCTTCCTCCTATGACTAAGCAGAAAGAGAAAAGCAGTGTGTGGGGGCCTCTTCTCAGGCTGTGTTTAAACCCCGGTCACTTCCCTCAACAGGAAAATGGATTTTGACAGGCCATCTTGTTTAGAGATTTCCCTAATCACACCATAATTAATGCCAAAAGGTTTCTTTGCTAACTTTAGTAGCACTTGAATAATTGTTTAACTTTTACTCTTTTCTTGTTTTAAGATACCTGCGAAACCACTGAAAAGTACATTAAACAACAGTATAGTTTTGGTTCCCCATATGTGGATTATCTAGTGAGTTTTTTTTTTCCCCCTTCCTTTCCTGTGTCTTGTCTTCTAAATGCAGATTTTTCCTAGAACAAAACAACCGGATATTTCAGACTTTGTTGGAGGTGTCTGCCAGTCAAGACAAAACTCTGACAGCAGAGCATGCCCGGGGCATGGGCCTAGACCCCCAAGGAGACCGGAGCTTTCTCCTGGACCTGCTAGAGGCCTATGGCATTGATGTCATGCTAGTCATCGACAACCCCTGTTGCCCGTAGGAGGAGCCAACAGGACTGGGAGCCGCTTCATGTGGGATGTCAGCAGCCTGGAGTTCACCCCAGGCCCCCAGAGGGCCTCATTTTTTATTAAGTTGACACGAAGGAATATTGTTTATACTTTCCAACAAACATAATTTTTGCAATTTCCTTTCTGCCCTTTTCCCTAGAGATAAGGTGAGATCGCCTTGGTTTAGTGTCCTGCCATGTTAGGATATTGGAATCTGCCACTTTCTCCCAGAGCTGCTGGTCCTTTGGGCTTCGTCATAGGAGTTGTATCACTAGGAGTGGGCTGAGCTCTGGAAATATTGGGATGGACTGTTCAGAAAGTTTGTGCGGTCTTTGTCCCTTGACGTATTTGAGAATAAGACAACCATCTGTCCCCTGTGGCCTTAAGATGTTCATCTGCCTAAAGGCAGAAACTAAACTGGATGATCTTTTAAAGTTTTTAGTAGCTCTACGAGTCTTGGGATCAAATCCCTTTTCTTGTTCACTGGGGCAACTTTATGTCTTCTCTGTTTACTTGAGTAAGGACCACAAAGAAGGAAAAAAGGATGTTTCTGACACCAAATGTGAGCTTATCTTACGGTCAGAATGACAGAGGTTGCTTATCAGTGAGCTGAAAACTAAAATTGTAGATTGAAGCCTTGAAACCTTCCTCAAAGTAACTTCATGGTGGCCATGCAATGTAATGTTCCTCTTTCTCTAAACCCCTCCTCTTGGGATGAATTGGTGAACTGTTAAGGGCCAGTGCTGGCCTTGGAGCTTGCAAGCAAATTAATTTTCCAATTTAGTCTCTTAAGGGTTCAATATGCTCTTGGAGTAAGGGGTATTTTTAAAGGCTGAAGTTTGGGCTGCTGGAGGATAGAGCAGTTGAAGTTCGAATAGGATGGAGAAGTTACTCTCGCTTCATCTGGACATGAGTTCTCTGGAGGCATTAGCAGTAGCAACTCTGGATCAACACAGATTTTCTGGATTCCGAAATCTAGCAAGGATCTGAGCTGGTTAACTCAGAGGGTGGAGCATGATGCTAACAAGACCGTTCATCATTTTGGACCCCTCACAAACACACTTTTCTTTAGCAGAGGTGACATTCCTTAGGCTAAATCTTTGGATCCAGGGACATAACAGATTTGTTGAGAGAAAATGTGGCAGTGCCTTCACCCAGGACAGTGGTCAGGAAGCCCCGAGCATCACTGATGGATTTAACCATTCTCTTCTGAAGTGCTCTGCTCTAGGCTGGGTCCCATTTTCACCTGCCTGTCCTCTGATTGGCTTTTGCAGGAGGGCAGCTTACGTGTTTGTCAACCAGTTAGAAAGCCAGTTCCTGTGGGTTGAGTTTAGGCCTTCTTGGCCATGATTGAGAATTTTGACTTGGGATACTGGGTTGCTGGTGACAAATAATGTCTTCCTCTTCCCCCTTCCCGCCTGGCTCGATTATGGGAATAGCCGTCAGTGCATCTATGTCTGTGACCAAGACCCAGCCAGACTAACGTACACAGCAGAGAGAAATAACGTTCAAATGGTGGGTCACACATCTCATCTCAAGATAAGGTGCTTAGGGTTCACTGCTTTATTCAAAAGTATTTTCACTGTAGCTCCTTCATATGGAATATCAAAACTGAAGAAATTCACACATGGACATGCAAATAGACATTGATTAATCAAGGTAGCATCTTTATGTAAATATATAAATAAGTTTGGGCATTGAAATGTAAACTGTACAGCTAATACACTTCTCCTCTGCAGTGTTGGTTGCTGTCATTTCAGTAATGTAGATGTTTACAAAAGAAAAAAACATCCGTGTTTCGAGGTTGAAGACTCATCTTTTTATCCCCTTTACACACAACCTCTCCTCTTGCCTCTCAAGGGTTGAGGGGTCCTTTCTAACTTAAGGCTAATGGTTACTTTTCATGGTATCCTGAGGTTCAGGGTGTTTTAAGCTGGGGGTAGGTGGTTAAAGGCAGGAGCAGGAGTGAAAGGAAAGATCTGATTCTCCTAGAGGACACAGGAAGACCTTTTTCTGGAATTAGGGAATCTGCCAGGAGGAGCTGTTTTAGGCACTTCTGCTCCGAGCCTTCTATATGCAAACACTCTGCGGGTTTAACTGCAAGCTCAGAAGTGCTGGTGTAAACATAGCAGGGTGAGAATGAAGTTCCTGCATTTTCCTGTGAATGGTGAGTCAGGGCTTCTGGGTTCCCTTAACTTTGTGCTTGTCTCGGTAGCTTTCTGTCTCAGTCCACCCTCCCGCTCATGCAGAGGGTCAGGGTATGGGTGGCCACAAAGGAGAATGTGCCAGTGAGGCAGTGAAATATTTTCTGAGAAACCATCTGCTTTTGTTCAGAAGAAAGTGCTGAACATCGTTCACAGACTTCTAGGTCTGTAAGCTCTTTTTTTTTTTTTTTTTTTTTTTTTTTGAGACGGAGTCTTGCTCTGTCACCCAGGCTGGAGTGCAGTGGCCGGATCTCAGCTCACTGCAAGCTCCGCCTCCCGGGTTTACGCCATTCTCCTGCCTCAGCCTCCTGAGTAGCTGGGACTACAGGCGCCCGCCACCGCGCCTGGCTAGTTTTTTTTTTTTTTTTTTTTGTATTTTTAGTAGAGACGGGGTTTCACCGTGTTAGCCAGGATGATCTCGATCTCCTGACCTCGTGATCCGCCCGCCTCGGCCTCCCAAAGTGCTGGGATTACAGGCTTGAGCCACCGCGCCCGGCCGGGTCTGTAAGCTCTTTAGGGGCGGGCATTATGATTACCACTGGCCTCCTGGAGGAGGGTTGGAAACTTGTGGTGTGATACCTTCTGCCACTATCTCCTGCTGGGCCTCAGCCCTGGCCTGCCTGAGCAGGCCTAGTTCTGTGAAGCTTTCAGCCTGATCTCATGCCACACTGTGAAACGAAACATGTGCCAGTTGAGAAATAATTGCTGACCTGAGACGCTGGCTGGGCTGCCCTGTTGTTCCTAAGTCAGAAGAAATTCCAGGTGGGAGGAGAATTCAGGTTTGGGGCTTGTTGGTGTCCATGTAAAATATGACAAAGGCCTGTTCAAGGGGGTGTTTTCAATTCTGTGGGCTCAGCAGATGATACTACTCAGCCTTTGGGAAAATGTCCAGTTGGCTCCTGGCTTAGGACTCTCCACAAGGAGTTCCAAATGGTAGGGCTTATCCCCTACCAGAATAAAAGTATGGCCCAAATTATGTGTTTAGAATTTGCTTGGGCTTTAAACACGAAACATTCTCTATGCCTGGTAGAGACAATTCCAGTGTCAGTGTCCCACGTGGGACCTCTACAGTCCTCAGTAAATTATGATTGCAATGAATTAGAAGGCTTTTGTCTTCCATATCCATCATCCATTATAGCATCTGTGTCTCCATCTGGTTAGGGGGAGGGAAGCTGAAATCATTGATGTATCAATAGAAGTAATTTAGTTTAGGAACTTGCATCTATAACTTACCTTGTTTTGTTCCACTTTAAAGTCAAGACAAAGTTAAGCTAGCACACAGGTGCACATGCTTCCAGATGCCACATGTGAACATCTGTTGATCATGTAACTACCGATGAGACTTTAGCTAGAAGATAAATTAAATCTTAGCTAAATCATTGTTTTTCATTCTGGTGGCTATAAGGATGAATTTGCTCTCAGTCTTGATACACTGAAAGCCCTTCAAACACAATAAAAGATGAAATCACTCACCTTTAAACTGAGGCCTTCAGGGAAGTTTTTGTAAAGGGCAGTAATGAATTAGGCTTTCAGTTGTAGGACATCAACCCTCCGAGAAGAGGCAGAGACCCAAGGGACCATTTATTTCCCTCTGAAACTGCACAGCCCGGGGAATGGATTGAGATGCTTTCTCCAGTCCCTGTACAGGTCATCCTTGCAGAGGTAGAGGAGGAGTGGGCAGGTGGATGAATAAACAGGATAATGCTCAGCTTGGCAGTGAACTTGCCTTAGTGTGATGACAGTTCTAACATGGGCAAGAAAATCAGATTGGGGACCAATATGCCAGGCATAGGCTTTTATCTCCCTAATAGATCCCAAGCTAGTAGGCTTGGATTCTGCCAAATGGCCATCCCTCCTGTCTTCTCCCCTGTACCTTGTAGTTATACCGAGGTGAGAATCATGCTGACCCCAGTCCCGTCCCCTCTCATTTCAGGAAAACCCTTTTCTGATTCAGGTAGGGGGAGAGGAGGAGTTAAGGGCTCCGTTTACTCCCAAGTCATGGATTTTTAATATTCCATTTTTATTACTAATATACCTCTGTTCCTAGAAGCTACTGGAGTCTTGAGTGTTGTGGGAAAAGGCTAACTGTGAATTAAGTTAATGTTTTTCTTATAAGAAATGGAAGTTTATTTTTTTATTGATATTACTATGTGATAAACTGAGTATGCATATACTGAAATGGAAGGAAATTTTAAAACTATTATTCTAGAAGAAATGGGCAGTTTTGTAATTTGGTGGTGGCTGAGACCCCATAGAAGTTTTACTTTGTAAATAATTTGGAGAGTGAATAAGGAGATTGTGCTATGAAATCTTGACATGCTCTTTAGGAAGTAGACTTGACAGTCCTAGGAAGGTTGACATAAAAATACCAACCTTAAGTAAAGCTCTAGTACAAAAAAGGGTAAATGTCGTCATTCTTATTTTTAGGCCTCTTTCTTGAGAGAGGTGGGAGTGGGAGGTAGTGTTATAACTGGCACTTTAATTCGTTTTTGGAACTAGAATTTAGGGGCAGTTGGATGAAATTGCAAATTTTGAAGGGGAATAAGAATTTTCTAGTGCTCTATAAAGAAATGGAGAAAAAAGCCTTGCTTTCATCTTTTTAGAATTTATTCTTGATTTTTAGCACACTGTGGGGCTTTTAGAGCTAATATGATCTAAATTCAGAAAATTTAATTTTCATAGCAGGCCAGGTGTGAATTACTTATGTTTGCTATAGAATGCTTATTTAGACTAATAATAAATTTACTTTGCTGTCTAAGGCTAGTCAGAGAATGTGGGGATGAGGCAGGATGTTTTCAATTAGCCAGAGATGATCCACAAAGTGAACAGTCCACACAGAGGTCACTGAGTTGGATGGTTGCAAATATATTGACATTAGAGTGAAAACTCCTTCCTTTGGGTAAACCAAAGAAAGATAGAGTATATTGAAAAATTTTAAGATGGTGTTATACAAAAAAAAAAATTTGGGTCTAACGTGTCCATGAAGACTGTCAAGTGAAGAATGGTGGAGATTCTGGGCGTTTGAGCAGCCAGCCTAGATGAGTGACTTCAGGGACAGAGAGCAGAGGAAAGCAAAATGAATTTCCTTTATTTACCCAAAGTTTGTTGACTGAATTTTTGTATAGGTCTGGGAAAATAAGCCTAAACAAATAGTTGTACCCTTAGAAAAACTGTTTCCCCATTTCTTTCTGAGTTAGAATCAGCATAGCCTGCCTGTCGCCTTAAATGTAAAAATCCTATTTTGATTAATACCCCAGCCTAAGAGTTACAGCAATACAAGAGACTGAATCTATTTTTGTTTCGGGTCTTTACCTCATATTATGAAATTAGTAAGACACTTCATAAATTTTGCCCTGAACACTGATGTGCCCAGGTATGCCGTGCTCTCTGTTTCCAGTGGTGGTAATTTTAAGGCCTAAAGAAAGCTGGGGTTAATCCTGAAGCTAAGAGTAAATGTTTCTTGCATTGATTTTGTTCTGTGGTACAAATAACATCTATGAATATCATATCTGTATATATATGAACCAAGTTGCGTGCAGAGAGGTTGATATAACTATATTTACAGAAAATGATTTTTACAATTAAAGTTCACATTTTAACATGAACACGTGTGCTGCAGTCCCTTCTCCAGTCCGAGAAAAGTGGTTTGTGGTAGGAAGGAATGGTGGCCCACCCCATGAGCAGAGCCCATGGGGGCTGAACCTGACTTCACTTACAGTGACGATGGAGGAGATTGGGGAGCTGCTACCTGTCCTTCTGGAAGCCACGGTCTGGACAGACTTTCTCCAGGTAATGGGAAACAAAGTTGGGAATGACTATGCCACCCAGAAGAGACAGGGCTGTGTACCCTTAATTACATCAGGAAACTTCTGGAATCCCACAGAGACCACCACCCTTTTACTTTACATACTCTCTTATCAAAGTTAAGTTTAAAATTGTATGTGTATATATATATATTTGGTGTATGTGTATATTCTAAACTTTTATTTCATTTTTAACCTTTTGGGGAGTTAGAGTATGTATTTAGAACCAGTGTAGGGTACATTGCTATCACTGGCTCTGTAAATCAAATGGCCTGGATTCAAAGCCAGGTTCCTATTTTCTGAGCTATGTAACCATATATTATTACAGGCTGGGTATCCCTTATTCAAAATGCTTGGGACTTAGAAGTATTTTCAGATTTCAGATGTTTTAGGATTTTAGAATCTTTGCATTATAAATCCAAACCCCAAAATGTTCCACTGGGCACTTCCTTTAAGCATCATGGTGGCACTCAAAAAGTTTTGGATTTTGGAGGATTTCAGATTTCACCTTTTCAGATTAGGGATGCTCAACCTGTACCTACTTCCTAGGGTTATTGTGAGAACCGATGCATCAGTTACATATGTGAAGCACTGGCACTTAGGAAATATAACTGCATCCAAATATGTGCAAAGCAGCTGTGAGGGAAAGGAAAAAAGCTTTATAAACTTTATCTTAAACTCTATCTTACAGAAAGCAACTATGGTTTTTGTTTGTTTTTTTTGAGATGGAGTCTTGCTCTGTCACCCAGGCTGGAGTGCAGTGGTGTGATCCCAGCTCACTGCAACCTCTGCCTC